CCAAGGCCACGTAAGCCCAACCACGCAACTCCGTCACCACCTCCTGCTTCACCTGTTCGTAGATGTGTTGATTAAAAGGTGACCTGAAGTGCTATCGGCGTTTGTGATAGATATTTGCATTGTATGGGCATGGTGGATGGCACTATGAATATACATGTATGTGAAACGACTTAAGTGGATTGCATATTTAACTGTAAATGTAATTATTTGTTTTACTTTACGTCTGATCTCAATAATACAAAAAAGAAAACATAAAAAAAACATAAAACACACACACACACACACATATATATATATACGTACATATATACCCACTTATATACATACATACATACATATACATACAAAATATTCGATATAATCCAATACGTAAACCCTCATCCATTTCCTCACAGTCATCACCAACCAATCACAAACCCCCTACTTTGGCTAGAATGGCCTTGACGTCATCCACATTGTAACTCCTCTTCTCCCTCTGGTGGGCCTCGACGAAGTCCCTGGAGGCGCTCGTGAACACCTCCCGGAGCTTCTGCAGGAGGGACTCGACCCAATCGCGCACCGTGCCCCCCGCCGAGCCGTCGTGGCCGAACAGCGTCTGGATTAGGTCTTCCAGATTTTCCAGTCGACCGCCAAACTGTAAAAAAAAAAGGAGAGGTCAGTTCAGTGTATATGTCTCTGTATCTTTATCTATATCTATATTTATTTCTGTCTATATTTGTATCTGTTTATATATCTATATCTATGCTGGTGTTCAGTTTTATGTCTATATCTATGTTTATATCTATATCAAATGTATATTTTTTTCTTTTTATTTCCAAAAACAGGTAAAATATGTCAAATGGTCTCATTTCGTAATGAAGACAAAAAGTTCACAGAAATTTGAGTTAAAACAAAAAAACAAGGTGTTTGTTGACAATGACACTTGAGGATCAGGAAAATCTTAGTACAAGTTGCCATTCAAATAAGCAGAATAAATAAATAAGTAAATAAATAAATAATAGCAATAATAATACATAAATAAATACCAAATCGCCATCCTCCTGGAGTAAGTTCTTTTTTTCTCTATTTTATCCCAGTCTTCTGTTTAAGCATCAATACAACCGTAGATATATTTCCTTATTTAACCCATTGCCGCCGAGGAAAATGAATAAAAAAAATGGGGAAAATGCTGTACTCATTTTTTTTTATTTTTGTGAAATATCTCTGTACATAGATGGCTCTGCAAGTCCTGATTTCACCTTTCCTTGAATTGGTGGGAAAAACGTATTCTTACTAGTGCTATAAATATAGATAGTGTTATTTTTAACAGCAAATTAGGATAACGTTAAATATTTTCGTAAATCAATGAAAAGGGTAAACGGGCAAGGCAGGCAGTACTTGTAATTGGTTCACTGGTGACTTAGTACAAGTGTAGCCATCTATGTGTAAAAACAATCAAACAAGTCGACTTACAGTGGGCATGGCATGTACTTACCTGTCATCCCCGTCGGCAAGGGGTTAAGCATTACATCTTACCTGAACACTCCCGCCAAAATATTTCAACCACGAAGAAGTCAGGTTAAAGTCGACGCTCCTTGGCAAGAAGGAACTCTGGAACACGACGTCGGTTTCGAGCAGCGTGTCCGAAACGCCTGTCACCGACGTCAGATTCGCAATCAGGTGCTGGGAAAACTGACGGAGGTCTTTGCTGCCTTCGCTGTCACTGGGCACGAAGCTGCTCACGTAGGACTTGACTGGGAGGTTTAAGGGGATTTTATTATTGTCTTATTATAAAAAGCGTTTCTTATACACTAAATTATGCTAATATACAGTACCAGGTTGCACTCCCTAGAATTAAACTGAATATAATTAATAAGTAATTATTTTCCAAATTTATCTTTTAATATTATAGTTGTTATTTGGAAGTTGATTCTGTCGGCATATATACATACATACATATATACATACATACATAAATACATACATACATATATGCATACATACATACATATATGCATACATACATACATATATGCATACATACATAAATACACACACGCATATACACACACACACACACACACGCATATACACACACACACACACACACACGCATATACACACACACACACACACACACGCATATACACACACACACACACACACATATATATATATATATATATATATATATATATATATATATATATATACATATATATATATATATTGCTTCCATTTCGAAGATGCTCCTATTCTTATATCAGTTTTGATACATTCATTCACGATTTCCAACCTCATACCTTGGGTGTCCGAATCCCTCTTGATGATAAGGATGGCTGCATCTTCGGCTTCGTTAGAATTGCAGGAGTGCAGGGACCGGAAGGCGGCAATCCGTAGCTCCGCCCCAACCGTTTCATTAAGGACCTCCCACTTCAGCCAGTTTGTGGTCTGCGGGCGCAAAGTGGTTGATGCCAAGGTCGGGCCGCGTTGGGCAAAGGGAACACGTGAGAAAACACTTGAGGTGGCAACCGGTGAAAATGAAACAAAACTCTCTTTTTTTCTATCTCCATTTTATTTGACTGCTTACACTCCTATTATTAATAAATATCGATACCTATCTGTCCAACTATACACCTCAAATTTTTATCAATCCATTAAACTCCCCAGTTACAGATGTACGTATGCATGTGTATATCCATTAAATCCCTCACTTTTATATGCACATCCCTACCACATTATATGCAAGGCAGATAACGTTACAGAGACACAGGAAAAACGACCTACTAACCTGCATTGGGCAAGGTCCTCGGCCCAGTGCGATAACAGCGGCCACACGAACCGTTGTGTTCACGTTCGCATCCCCGCCACACGTCCGGAGGATTTCACTCACCCCTCGTCCATACACACCTACATTACCCAGTCCTCGCATTGCCAACACCGTCTGTAAAAAAAGGTAAATCCTAGACGTAATGAAATGAGAGAGAGAGAGAAATTAAGTAAGGAGGTGATTCGATGGGAGGAAATTTATCATAATTACACGAAAAATAGCGAAAGAAAGAATGAAATGAATACAGATAAAAACGTACTCAGTGTTACCAGCTCTCGCCTCGAACATTACCTGGTGGACGCCATCTGCATCCGCGTGGCTGCAGGCGGTGAGACGACTCGCCAGCTGGTCTATGATTGCCACTACCGCTTGGGCGAGGCCACATCTGTCACCACCTGTCATTGGAAGGTTGGTCGTGCTATCAGATTTGTATCTCAGGGTAGCCTTACATATATCTTGAAATTGCTAGCTTTCGATGGGATCAGATAAGTGAAAATTAATGCGTGAAAAAAATCGATTAATATAATCCTATATTCAGGAAATTCCATTGTAAATATCTCTAGGCATAACGCGCCATATTATACCTTGCTGACACCTAGAGTTGTTCAGGACACACCGTCGCCGCCCACGGACGCCCGCGCACGCCTCCTCGGCCGCCCTTCTCGCCATCCCTGACACGCCAAGGACGGCCTGCTGCCAGTTGGGACCCTCGAGGAGCTCCTGAAGGACTATATATATATATATATATATATATATATATATATATATATATATATATATATATATATATATATATATATATATATATATATATATATATATATATATATATATATATATATATATATATATATATATATATATATATATATATATATATATATATATATATATATATATATATATATATATATATATATATATATATATATATATATATATATATATATATATATATATATATATATATATATATATATATATATATATATATATATATATATATATATATATATATATATATATATATATATATATATATATATATATATATATATATATATATATATATATATATATATATATATATATATATATATATATATATATATATATATATATATATATATATATATATATATATATATATATATATATATATATATATATATATATATATATATATATATATATATATATATATATATATATATATATATATATATATATATATATATATATATATATATATATATATATATATATATATATATATATATATATATATATATATATATATATATATATATATATATATATATATATATATATATATATATATATATATATATATATATATATATATATATATATATATATATATATATATATATATATATATATATATATATATATATATATATATATATATATATATATATATATATATATATATATATATATATATATATATATATATATATATATATATATATATATATATATATATATATATATATATATATATATATATATATATATATATATATATATATATATATATATATATATATATATATATATATATATATATATATATATATATATATATATATATATATATATATATATATATATATATATATATATATATATATATATATATATATATATATATATATATATATATATATATATATATATATATATATATATATATATATATATATATATATATATATATATATATATATATATATATATATATATATATATATATATATATATATATATATATATATATATATATATATATATATATATATATATATATATATATATATATATATATATATATATATATATATATATATATATATATATATATATATATATATATATATATATATATATATATATATATATATATATATATATATATATATATATATATATATATATATATATATATATATATATATATATATATATATATATATATATATATATATATATATATATATATATATATATATATATATATATATATATATATATATATATATATATATATATATATATATATATATATATATATATATATATATATATATATATATATATATATATATATATATATATATATATATATATATATATATATATATATATATATATATATATATATATATATATATATATATATATATATATATATATATATATATATATATATATATATATATATATATATATATATATATATATATATATATATATATATATATATATATATATATATATATATATATATATATATATATATATATATATATATATATATATATATATATATATATATATATATATATATATATATATATATATATATATATATATATATATATATATATATATATATATATATATATATATATATATATATATATATATATATATATATATATATATATATATATATATATATATATATATATATATATATATATATATATATATATATATATATATATATATATATATATATATATATATATATATATATATATATATATATATATATATATATATATATATATATATATATATATATATATATATATATATATATATATATATATATATATATATATATATATATATATATATATATATATATATATATATATATATATATATATATATATATATATATATATATATATATATATATATATATATATATATATATATATATATATATATATATATATATATATATATATATATATATATATATATATATATATATATATATATATATATATATATATATATATATATATATATATATATATATATATATATATATATATATATATATATATATATATATATATATATATATATATATATATATATATATATATATATATATATATATATATATATATATATATATATATATATATATATATATATATATATATATATATATATATATATATATATATATATATATATATATATATATATATATATATATATATATATATATATATATATATATATATATATATATATATATATATATATATATATATATATATATATATATATATATATATATATATATATATATATATATATATATATATATATATATATATATATATATATATATAATATATATATGTATGTATGTATTACAGGGTCTGAAGTTAGTCTAGACGGGTTTTAATGTGCATTGAGAACTGCCTCAATTTACGTGTAAAAACAAACTATTACGACACGCCAAGAAAAAAATATACACATATATATAAGTATAATACTGTCAGTGTCTAGAATCCCGTGCAAACTTACAGATATTATCATTAAAGCAATCACACTATCCTTGCTATGACACCCGAATCATGACAGATAGCTTAACACTGAGTGCACTGACTACAAATGCATCCTATTTACATCTGATAAATCTATCATTCTACTTGACAAGCCGGGCATACCATACAGGTGTGAAGGGCGTCCTCAGTGGGACCTCGCACGTGCCCTAGAGAGCTTATCCAGCTGGGCCTGTAAACAACTGCCCGTGACGTCATCAGTTGACACTTGGCTGCAGCAGCGGCGGGGGAAGTGGAGTCACGAAGTGCGTCCTCGAACAGTTTTCTAAAACGAGTGGGAAAAAAGTATAATCCAATACTTATATAGGAAGAAAGTTTAACACAAAACTGATATCAAGGGGAATATATCTAATGCAATTATTGTGCCCAATTCTTAAAGACATTTAGAAGGTGGTTGTACATAGGAAGTGAATTCGGACAAAAATGCACTGGTTATGCCGATCCCGTTAAAACTATAAGCAGAAGTTTGGTATTAGTTCAGTATTCGCGTGCATGTGGTTTATCGTATCCCCTAAGTCATCATAATGTAAATATGTAGGATTCGGAAATTTGAACCAATGTTCCACCATGAAACTACTATAAATATACCAAATTACTAATACAATTACGATATACGATTACGAAATACTGATATGAATATATCAAACTACTGATACAAATAAACGAAATACTAATCTATTAATCTATTTATATTTATATTTATAATCTATTTATATCCTAATATAAATATGTAATTACCAATATATATATATATATATATATATATATATATATATATATATATATATGTATGTATGTATTACGAAATTACTAATATATATATATACGAAATTTCTAATATGCATACACGAACTATACGAAATTTCTAATATACATACACGAACTATACGAAATTTCTAATATACATACACGAACTATACGAAATTTCTAATATACATACACGAACTATACGAAATTTCTAATATACATACACGAAATTTCTAATATACATACACGAACTATCCGAAATCACTAATATATATACACATATATATACGAAATTACCATTATAAATAAACGAATTACTAATATAAACATACGAAACTACCAATATGAATAAACGAAACTGTTAATTATCCCAAATAAGAAAAACTTAACCGAGAACTTAACGTACAGAACCCTGTTATGTCGGCCGCAGATATCACCAGACGTCACCTCCTTGAAGACACGTATGACCTCATCTTTACTCAAATCCTTAAGGCTTGACACCAAAGTAGGGTAGAATAAGGTTGCTTTTGGCGTGACGCGATGTTCCGTTTCGTCGCACATCTCCTGCAGAAGTTGCCTGACGAGGTCGTAAGGTTGTTTGTCGCTTGCTTGTTGGAAGGCAGCGTTGTTGAGGTTGAGTTCGACCACGCCTGTGTAGGGAGAGGGAGCCAGGCGCTGAGAAGGTAATTGTGGTGTTTGTCTTCGTGAGTTTAATGTGCTTTTTTCATATTTCCTTCTGTGTTTGTTTTTTTTATGTTGATTGTAGGATGATATTTGGGATTTTGATGACTTTGGTATCAAGTTGATTAGGGTATGGTATTTAGTGCTATGATAATCTTTGTGGTCCATTAGCCTTTACTATATCCTCCTCCCCCTCTCTCATTCTCTCGCCCTCCTTCCCTCTCTCCCCACTTTCCTCCCTCTATCTTCCTCCACTCCTTTCCTTCCTCTCTCCCTCCCCATTCCCACCCCCTCCTTTCTCTTAATCTCTTCCCTCCCTCCCTCTTTTCCCCTCCTCATCCACCTCCCTCCTTCACTCCCACCCCTTCCTCTCTCAATCCCTCCCTCCCTTACCCCTTTCTTCCCCTTCCTCCTTTCCACCCCCTCCCTCCCTCCCTTACCCCTTTCTTCCCCTTCCTCCTTTCCACCCCCTCCCTCCCTCCCTTACCCCTTTCTTCCCCTTCCTCCCTCCCTCCCTCCCTCCCTCCCTCCTTCCCTCCCTCCCTCCTTCCCTCCCTCCTTCCCCACTTACCAACAGCATTGTCATATGCCAAGCTACTGCGCCGAGCCTCGATGAAAGTCAGGTCCAGTTTGGAAGCAAAGTCGGCCGCGCTTTCGATCCTGACGTCCTGGGAGCATGAGACGTTAAGCAGAGGTCCCCTGCCGATGGGGGGGACGCTGCCGTGGTATGTGTGTTGACATCTCCAATCCTGGCGGAGAGGCGGAAGGTACAGACGCCGTTGGGGAACTTCGTGGGGGGTGGGGGTGGGGTAATCTCGTAGGGGTGACCTCGTGGGGGGGTGGGGGGAACTTCGTAGGGATAACCTCGTGTAGGAATAACCTTGTGGTATGATTATGCGTATATGACATTTTTTTATTTGATTTTATTAGTTTTTTTCTAGTTTATTTTCAGTTTATCATTATTATTATTATTATTATTTTTTTTTGGGGGGGTGTTAATTGTCCGTTGCGTTACTTAATTTGTTTGTTTGTTTATTTGTATGTTGCATGAGTTATTAATATTTGTATGTTGCAGTATTATACTCTTGTTTGTTGTTAGATTTTCCTCAATTTTGCTTGTTTGTTTTTGTGCTGCAGTGTTTTACTCCTTTGTATTTGTTTGTATGTTGCTATGTGAGAGAAATCTTAAAAAAAAAAATTACGATTACCTTGAGCGTAATTCTTCCCGTCCATACCAATTAATAGGAAAACATACAAAGCTCGACAATTTCATGTGTTCACAATTACCCCCACAGTTAATAGCCGATATAAATACAGCAAAATAAATGAGAACTTAAATCTCGCACTAACTCAACGTGAAAAATAACAATAACCACGTGATTTTTTGGGGTAAAGAATAAGCCTACTTGGTTAACGAGACCTTGAACCAGTTGGGAGACTGAGGACAAATTTACGAGCATCCTGTGTGTTACGCGTACCCTCTGGGTGGCCAATATTTTCATCAACAGTTCGTAGGTCCTGTGACGGGCTTCGTGGCCAGCCCCCACCTCCATTAAAGGGGAAATTGGATCCTTAATCACTAATAATTAACATCCAACTCTAAGTTTTTTTTATGAATTTATCTTAGTGAGTCTTACTGACCTGTGTTCGAATCCCACGTCGCCAGTGGATGGTAAACCTGGCTTTTTCTTACACACAGAGGAGTAATTTAAAAACAAACAGACAGCCTGTCACACCAAACAGAAGAATAACCTTTGTGACAAATGGAATGAACTGAATGATTAATTACTGTTGTGTCTGCGAGTCTCGGAAGTACTGAAATGTCTCTCCTGGTGGGGTTCTGAGCGCTGGGTTGGCAGGTTGCAAGGTCCCTCGTTCTCAAGACGGTGTAGTGGGTGGGGGCGAGGTGCTCCAGGCGGTAGAGGGTCTCGCATCGGCCCAGGTGGTCTGTCTGGAGGGCGAGAAAGCATGGTTAGGGAGGGTAAATATCCTTGGGAGTGGGGTTATCTCTGTCAGGTGTTTATGTGGGTGTGTGTGTATGTTTGTTCCTTGCTTGCTCTGTCTCTTTTTTCTGTTTCTCTCTCTCTCTCTCTCTCTCTCTCTCTCTCTCTCTCTCTCTCTCTCTCTCTCTCTCTCTCTCTCTCTCTCTCGCACACGCACACAAACACGCGCGCGCGCGCACACTAGGATACACTGTGTATATTCACACCCTTACCTCTAGCATCACCGCGTCTCTGAAGTCCCACGAGGGCGTGCCGACGTTGAGGGCGGCGGACACCACGCTCCTCGCCAGGGAGTGGACGTGGGCGGTGTGGGTCTTCATGGGCGTGGCTTCCGGATGCCCACATACCGCCCGCACCTCTCCGCCATAAGCACAATTACAGTGAAATGATAATAAGAATAATAATGATAAAAAATAGTAATGATAATGTTGCGTTAATTATTATTACTATTTTTTGTTGTTAACGTGGAAGATAATTAATCTTAAATGTGTGTTTTTATTTTTCGTAATAATACTAATTAACAGTAATTATGAAGATATTGAACGTGACGACGGTAATCACATGTGAAGATAATAGGAAAAACAACAATGACAACTGCAATAATAATAATAATGATAAAAATAAACACAATTACAGCTAATGATGCTGATAACATGATAATGATAATTATAATTTTAAAGATAATGATAGCAGTTACATGATGATAATGATATTAATAAGAAAGACGATGATTTTCAACAAATAGTAACAGGAATATTAATAAAAAATAAATTGATAATCATAAGAATAACAAATATAAATCTGATCATAAGCACAATTACAGTGAAATGATAATAAGAATAATAATGATAAAAATAAACACAATTACAGCTAATGATGCTGATAACATGATAATGATAATTATAATTTTAAAGATAATGATAGCAGTTACATGATGATAATGATATTAATAAGAAAGACAATGATTTTCAACAAATAGTAACAGGAATATTAATAAAAAATAAATTGATAATCATAAGAATAACAAATATAAATCTGATCATAAGCACAATTACAGTGAAATGATAATAAGAATAATAATGATAAAAAATAGTAATGATAATGTTGCGTTAATTATTATTACTATTTTTTGTTGTTAACGTGGAAGATAATTAATCTTAAATGTGTGTTTTTATTTTTCGTAATAATACTAATTAACAGTAATTATGAAGATATTGAACGTGACGACGGTAATCACATGTGAAGATAATAGGAAAAACAACAATGACAACTGCAATAATAATAATATTGACGATGTGGACGTTGATGATAATAGCAATAATAGAAAAAATAACAAAAAAATACTACTACTGCTGCTGCTGATAATGATAATGATAACAATACTACTACTACTACTAATAATAATGATAAAAAATAGTAATGATAATGTTGCGTTAATTATTATTACTATTTTTTGTTGTTAACGTGGAAGATAATTAATCTTAAATGTGTGTTTTTATTTTTCGTAATAATACTAATTAACAGTAATTATGAAGATATTGAACGTGACGACGGTAATCACATGTGAAGATAATAGGAAAAACAACAATGACAACTGCAATAATAATAATAATGATAATGATAACAATACTACTACTACTACTAATAATAAAGATAATGATAACAATACTACTACTACCACTACTGTTAATAATAATGATAAAAAATAGTAATGATAATGTTGCGTTAATTATTATTACTATTTTTTGTTGTTAACGTGGAAGATAATTAATCTTAAATGTGTGTTTTTATTTTTCGTAATAATACTAATTAACAGTAATTATGAAGATATTGAACGTGACGACGGTAATCACATGTGAAGATAATAGGAAAAACAACAATGACAACTGCAATAATAATAATAAAGATAATGATAACAATACTACTACTACTACTAATAATAATGATAAAAATAAACACAATTACAGCTAATGATGCTGATAACATGATAATGATAATTATAATTTTAAAGATAATGATAGCAGTTACATGATGATAATGATATTAATAAGAAAGACGATGATTTTCAACAAATAGTAACAGGAATATTAATAAAAAATAAATTGATAATCATAAGAATAACAAATATAAATCTGATCATAAGCACAATTACAGTGAAATGATAATAAGAATAATAATGATAAAAAATAGTAATGATAATGTTGCGTTAATTATTATTACTATTTTTTGTTGTTAACGTGGAAGATAATTAATCTTAAATGTGTGTTTTTATTTTTCGTAATAATACTAATTAACAGTAATTATGAAGATATTGAACGTGACGACGGTAATCACATGTGAAGATAATAGGAAAAACAACAATGACAACTGCAATAATAATAATAATGATAATGATAACAATACTACTACTACTACTAATAATAATGATAATGATAACAATACTACTACTACTACTAATAATAATGATAATAATAACAATACTACTACTACTACTAATAATAATGATAATAATAAACACAATTATAGCTAATGATGCTGATAACATGATAATGATAATTATAATTTTAAAGATAATGATAGCAGTTACATGATGATAATGATATTAATAAGAAAGACAATGATTTTCAACAAATAGTAACAGGAATATTAATAAAAAATAAATTGATAATCATAAGAATAACAAATATAAATCTGATCATAAGCACAATTACAGTGAAATGATAATAAGAATAATAATGATAAAAATAAACACAATTATAGCTAATGATGCTGATAACATGATAATGATAATTATAATTTTAAAGATAATGATAGCAGTTACATGATGATAATGATATTAATAAGAAAGACAATGATTTTCAACAAATAGTAACAGGAATATTAATAAAAAATAAATTGATAATCATAAGAATAACAAATATAAATCTGATCATAAGCACAATTACAGTGAAATGATAATAAGAATAATAATGATAAAAAATAGTAATGATAATGTTGCGTTAATTATTATTACTATTTTTTGTTGTTAACGTGGAAGATAATTAATCTTAAATGTGTGTTTTTATTTTTCGTAATAATACTAATTAACAGTAATTATGAAGATATTGAACGTGACGACGGTAATCACATGTGAAGATAATAGGAAAAACAACAATGACAACTGCAATAATAATAATAATGATAATGATAACAATACTACTACTACTACTAATAATAATGATAAAAATAAACACAATTACAGCTAATGATGCTGATAACATGATAATGATAATTATAATTTTTAAAGATAATGATAGCAGTTACATGATGATAATGATATTAATAAGAAAGACGATGATTTTCAACAAATAGTAACAGGAATATCAATAAAAAATAAACTGATAATCATAATAATAACAAATATAAAACTGATCACAAGCACAATTACAGTGAAATGATAATAAGAATAATAATGATAAAAAATAGTAATGATAATGTTGCGTTAATTATTATTACTATTTTTTGTTGTTAACGTGGAAGACAATTAATCTTAAATGTGTACTTTTACTTTTCGTAATAATACTAATTAACAGTAATTATGAAGATATTGAACGTGACGACGGTAATCACATGTGAAGATAATAGGAAAAACAACAATGACAACTGCAATAATAATAATATTGACGATGTGGACGTTGATGATAATAGCAATAATAGAAAAAATAACAAAAAAATACTACTACTGCTGCTGCTGATAATGATAATGATAACAATACTACTACTACTACTAATAATAATAATGATAATGACAATAATAATGAAAATAATAATGATGATGATGGTGATGATAACAACAACAGCAATAATAATAATAATAATGATAATGATAATAATAATGATGATAATGATAATAATAAGATACTAACAATGATAGTGATAAGGATAATGATAGTAATAGTAATACTAATACTAATGGCAATAACAATAATAACAATATTAATGATAATCATAATGACAATGATAACGATAATGAAATCATGTCAATAATAGTAACAATAACAATGGTGATATTAATAATGATAACAGTGATACTAATAACAATGATAATAACAACAGTAACAATACAAAATAAAAGGATAAAAATAATAATCATAAAATCATAAAATTTATCAGATCAACAATAATAATGATGGCAGTAATGATAACAACAAAAAAAAAAATAATAATGATGATGATGATAGTGATAACAATAATAATGATGATGATGATAGTGATAACAATAATAATGATAATAATGATAATAATAATAATAATGATATTAATTATAATGGTAATGATGATGATAATAATAATAATAATAAAAATAATAGTAATAACAATGGTGATAGTAATGATGATAATAAAAATGAATATAACATTAACAGTAGTAAGAATAATGCTGATAAATTAATGGTAATAAAACAATAACATTACTAACACTAACAAGAACAACAAAAATAAGAAAAATGACAATTATAATAAAAGTGGTAATGAAAATAAGTATAAATATGGTATTGATACCTGACGGTAGTAACAGCAATATCAATGAAAATTATTGATTTTGGTGTGTGTATGTGTGTGTGTGTGTGTGTGTGTGTGTGTGTGTGTGTGTGTGTGTGTGTGTGTGTGTGTGTGTGTGTGTGTGTGTGTGTATGTGTGTGTGTGTGTGTGTGTGTGTGTGTGTGTGTGTGTATATATGTGTGTGTGTGTGTGTGTGTGTGTGTGTGTGTGTGTGTGTGTGTATGTGTGTGTGTGTGTGTGTGTATGCCTGTAAATATGCGTGTTAGTGCAAACGTTACTGTGTATGCATGTGCGTGTGTACACGCGCGTACATGTGCACGCCAGCAGAGACTAAGGCATTTTTACCAAGTAAAAACACCAGTCGCAGTAGGTTAGCAACTGCGAATCCTGGACCCGGTGAATAGAGCGTCTCTTTCAAACCCCGCATCCCGGCTCGAACTCTCCGAATCTGTTTAAGTTCAATTGAACTTGCCTCCAGCGAATACGGACGTCCATAATGATGTCCGCGATGTCACGTGCAGCATCCCAACGTGACGTAAGAATCTTCTCGAATGCATATTTCGAAGGGTGAATGAATAACGTTAGATTCAAACTTAATCCGTTTGAATGAAACACGTTAGCTAGCAACAGGAAGGTAATAAAAAAAGAAAAGAAAAAAAAAAAAGAAAAAAAAAACATTAACTTGACTCCGTCCCCGCGCTGTTGCTAACCAACGTTCACTGATAAGAACACTTAAGATAAAAAATATATATATAAGCCATAGCTGGTTCGCCGAATTTAACACTAGACGCCTTGCATAACACATATCATCTCGTTATCA